TAAACTGCCCAGGGATTTTGTTGCCGTTCTCTGCTTTCATAAGCCTCAAATGTGCTGCAGGGTAACTGGACCACTTCCTCTACTTCCTGTGAGATCAGTCAGTCAAACAGGGTGAAGCCAAGCAGTGCACGGGCTACTGTGCCTGGGACACACCTGGAACACTGCTCACTTTACCCTTGGCACCTGTGGGTGGGTGTCAACACTGAAGACTGCAAAACAGCAATGCTGATAAGTTCACATAGTCATCATATTTGTTTAGTGTTTTTGTGTGAGTATTTTACACATTTTTACTTAGTGAAATTAAGGTGCAAATGCTTTGTCTGAAAACTGGCAGCATTTGGAACATTAAACACAAAATTATTGTTATTTTCATATTGAATAGTAAATACACAGGACATAATTATAGTTTTGCTTTTTTAAAATTTTAACAAGGTGCAATTATGGTGCATATTTAGATATCTAGATATCTGTAAATATGTATATTTAAAGTCAGATTAGAGCAAACCTTTAATGGAGCATACTGCACTCCTGCTAGTAGGATGGCCTCTATTCTGATCGGACCAAAGCACCAGCTCCTTGTTTTGGCCCCATTGAGATGTAATATACATTTGCCTATAGGAAAAAAAAAAAAAGATCACACATAAAGGAATGGAACGTTTTAAAAAAAGTAAGATTTTTGATTTTAGTGTGTTTGACCTACTGCACACACAGTATACACACACACACAGACACATACATACATATAAGCAATATTTATTTTTCAATATTTACAACTTGATTTAGTTTTTTCCAGCTCAAAATGGAGTGGAACTGTTACTTGTGTCTTCAATAGATTTATCTTATCTACAGCAAACCAGCAGCAGTTAGCGACCACCAGCAGATGGTGCCGTTGCCCAGGCCTTATGTTATGGTAAATGTCTATGTGTGAGGCCTCTTTTTCCTAATCTGGGACTTTAACAAGCCTATGCAAATTGCAGAGGGAAGGAAATGATGAATATTTTCTCCAAAGCTGAATCTTTTGTTTCTTTTGCTTTTTACTTTGGATAATGTTGATAGAGTTCATTACTATAACACACTTTTTTTTAACCTGTATTGGTAACATAACAGCTCAGGAAAATGCAATCCAAAAAACTCCCCCTCACTAAAAACTTTAAAAAGTCTCTCTGTACAGTCCAAGGCCAAGGTAATATTAATTTAACTGAAGTTTAAAAAAATGCACGTGGCTCTGAAAATATAAATACAGGGATGCCAACGAAGCACTTACTTGGACTACCTTACCAATTATGCAACAATATTTCCATCTTTTCACAAGCTTTGCGTAACTGTAAAAGGTCAAGGTGCTTTTTATTTAGAAAAAAAACATTGTCTTTAAAAATGCAGTATTTTGTGACGGGACGCAAACACTGTATGCAAATGCTTTTTTGGAATAATATAGCTATCATGGGTGCAACATCGTATAACATATATACAGCTGACATGTTTGTTTTGGAAACGTTGAAAAGTGTATATTTATTGATAGATGAGTGTAAAAGATTGACAAACCTCTAAACGAGTGGTACAAAGGCGGCAGTGTGGGCCGTGTCACTCGCGCCTCATCTCCATCAGCGCACACGTGTTTACTCTTCAGCTTTTCCGCTGTCTCCAGGATGGCAGGCACACTCGAGACTTTTGTATATGATAAACTATGTGATATGAACCCCTCTGACCTCTCGTCTACCTTTCTTCGTCGCCTGTTCGCATGTACTTTTCCCTCCTTCCTTTTTGTCTTTAATAAATCCCATTCTCGGATTTCCCTCTGCGGGACCCCTCCTTGGGCCCAGCTCCTGGCTTCTTGCCCGCAACCGAGGGTCTGAGTGGCCAGCGTCGCGGCTTGATCCCCGGGGAAAGTTTGGAGAGCAGGGGGAGGCCGCTGATGGTCAGTCTGAATGAGCTGTCCCTCCACATGAAAAACCACAGTGTGTGTTTGTGCTGTAGCGTGTGTCATCCTGAACTCTCATTTCATGGGTTAACGTACTGTGTCCAGCTGATCTAATAATAACTATATAGATATATAATGCACATACGTTGTATGCTTGTGTCCGTTCTACAGCCCACAGACACAAGGCTGGGCTGTTTGGGGTCACTGCTGCTGAAAGCATTACGTCTACTGGAGTGGAGAGCAATATAAAAACTATATATCATTGCCAAATGATATAGTGCCTGAGAGAGGTCATATTGCTAAATATTATGTGTTGACCACAGAGTTCACTGCTTAGGGCGTGAGTGAAGCTGTGAGAGGAGGTGAATGTTCTTTGTCTTAGGCTGGTATCAACTACCTGTGTTTTTGGAAATAGAAAGTTCCAACTATAAGCCATGGAGAGTAGTTTTATAAGATTATTTCTGAAGATTTTAGCCTCTTCCAAGACCAGTGCAAGTCAGGTTGGTGGAGGTGTAAGCCCACTGCATTCTTTGATAATCATCATCACATTTGTGAATGATGCCTGACAGGGCCAACCGTTTCGGGATACAAAGGGCCAAGAGAAGTCTTGAGCTGAATAGTTGTCATACAAAACCCTTGCGTGTGGAGTGGAATAAGGTCTAACACATGGAAGGTCTCAAAGGAGTTTGCATGTACAGTATGTGTATACATGTGCTGCTCCAGATCTGTGGTCAAGTGAACCTCCCTCCTCTCTTCACACACTTACACTCTGTTTGTTTTTACATTTGCATTGTGGGACACCGATGCCTAGCTGCCCCTGCTCCCAACTGTCAAACAAGATTATTGGGGTTGCCCCATTTTCTTCTCACAAGTGCAAATACAAACTACTTAAAGCAAATGGATCATAACAGTCCGACTCAAATATGTACCAATGTATGTTCATTGGAAAGAGAACCAGCAGAAGTTTTTACCCAAATCCACAACTTAGTACCATAACAGAAACAGTCATAGCCATAAAAAATGGTCTTTTAAACAAAGAGTCCAGTATTTGGAATACAAACAAATCCAAGAAAGACTGTTTCCTTTTTTCAATGACCGAGACAAAGACTCTTTTTAATATGTCTTTTATGGTTTGGGGTTGCATTGAGAATTGGACTGGGTTTCAAAGTCGACTCACTGAAGGCCTTCCCAGTACAACAAGCCTCTGAGTTTGAGAAATAGCACAACGTCTGGGACAAGAAAACATTCTGTCACTGGGTCACAAACGATTTAGTTCCATCAAGAACTTGATCTATATTTTTACTATAAACTCTCCGACTGTAAGCCTGTCCCTACATGATTAATGATAAAAAGTTCCTCAGATGTATGAGCTGCCTTTTGCAAAGCACCAGGCTTTCAGCTTTTTGCAAGAAATCATATTGAGACTAGAGGTTGTAAAATACCATCTGACATTAAGAAAGAACTATTAGTCCAACTGTCTTTTTGTAAAGCATTATAATATATTATATGCCCTGAGCCAGTCGTAAATGATGTCACGTCCTATTAACCCTCATGCAAAGATTCATTTCATTTCTGCGTTTCTGTTATATGACTATCGCTATAGTGCTCTTTCCACGTCTAGACACCTGGAGAAGAGTGAATGAAAGCGAGAGGTAAGGCAATAGTTCCTGAAGTCAGGGGAAAAAAGCAAAAAGAGGATAAAAGATGGGAGCTGGAGCTGTAAATCAGAGTGTCTCCTGTCTGAGATTGAGAAATAATGGTGCTTGTGATTTATGACATCTTTCATACTCAGGGGGAGGCATTAGGGAAGCAAAGAGTTACAAATGGAGACACATTAACCTTTACCTGTGACTGTCAGACCAATATAGACGTGATTGTTTTTAGATAAATGTGTGCAGAAGGTGGTTTGGATTAGAGACCTCTGGAAGAAAAGGGCTTTATGCTTGAGACATGATTTAGAAAGAGAAGACATGATTCAATATGTTAACGTTTAAAGGAGACTTATGCTACATCTTATTTTTTTGCAAGTTACAACATTGTTCCCTCATCAACAACAAACCTGGAGTTGTTTTTAGATCCTTTCACGCTAAGATAGATAGAGATTAGATACCTGATATTAGCAACATTAGACCTTGACATTATTAAACTTTTTTTCTAAATTCTTTTACAGGACTTTGTTTGGTGTGGGTAATTTTCAAATTAGGAAAACAAATCAAACGGAACTCCATCCTCTGGTGGTTGCCTTAAGGAGTCACCTTTTTT